TTCTTCATGTCCTCTTACCTATACAAACCCAGTGTGGCAGGTGCATTTCACTTAACTGCCCAGCAGTGACTGCAACATCAATTACAGGACCTGCAGGCATGTACTGTGTGCTTTCCACTCTCTCCATGTGTCCTCCCCAAGAGCAAAAGTGGTACTGAATGCTGATCTTTTCCTTACAAACCCAGCGCAAGCCAGAGACACTGCATTCAAAGTCTCCCGCTTCAGACTGAAGGCTAAAGTGAAAAAATAAAAAGGAACACATCAGCGTCATTTTTAACACTTCATTTTATGTCAAATGCAGAATTAACATTTTGCAAAACTGGGTCTTCTTCTGGCAAAAAAAATCTGAATCACTGTTGATTTCCTGTAATTCACCTGTAAGTTGGAGCCTTGTCTGCATCTGTAGCGTTCACCTCAGGCTCAAGTTTAGTCCAGTTGCTGGCATGCTGCTGCAGAAGACAATCAATTAAATAAGCGCAGATTTTACATTGTGTAACACCACATACATGAACAAATACATATTTAAAAAATTAATGAAAGAAACGTGAGTGAATGTATGAAAGTACCGTCATAGTTGCACAACCCTCGATCTCAGAGCTTCTGGAAGCTTCTTGTCTTGAAACACAGAGGATTTAAGTGGACAAACTACAAAGTACAGTGCAAATGAAGCTATTTAGGTCAGGATGCTTCGTGAGAGTTAATAAAACACACTCAAACATCAGTCTCTATTTTATTCCTTAGCTGTCCTCTCCTATCAAGTAAGCCAAGTGATAAAACTTAAATCTGGGTCTCCTGAAGTGTCATTTCCACACTGAGGAAACCTGTTTGCATCAAAAATTCCATGATTTTTTCACACAGCCTCTCATTTCTCTAATTTGCACCTCATCTTTTGCTATACTGAACAATGTCTCAATTGCTGAAATAGATCTGGAAAAGGGAGGAGCCTTTGACAGAGCACCATAATCACGAATGCAGAGATCTAGCCTGAGTATTTAAAAGAAAAGTATAAAAAGGAGAATAGGTGGAATATACAAACCACTGCAGGAGGAAGAATCTACAGACAAAATGTTTGGATTCATACTTTGCTTCAGTTATTTAAGATTTTTAACTTCATGATCAAACTATGTGTGAGATTAAGGGGGGGGAAGGGTAGAGTTTTTCACATGTTGTGAATTTAATTAAAGGTTATTCAAACTATTAAAAAGGCTATGGACGGAGTTACACTGTAATGAAATCACGATAAGCAATCATGAGGCGACAGCAGACACCCTGCATCCCCTACCGAACGATTTTTAAATTGTTTAGATTAATTTCAAACCACCTCATATTTCAGCGGCCTGCTACTAAATAACTTTTAATATTAAAATGTTAAAACGCCTTTAAAATTGTCATTTTTAGAACAAAAACCTGCTACAGAAAGACTGAATGATCGCTCGTATACAGACAAACTATGGCGTTACATTCAGTTGACGCTAAACGCGGAAATAAAGCTCGCTCGCTTTCTCTCGCGTTGTTTTACGACTTACTTATTTAAATTCGAAGCTCTGAAACGGGGAAAAGGTTAGGAAACAGCAGCTGGGCTCTTTCAATAACACGCTCAAACCAGTGAAGTCTAAAAGTTAGTTATTGCCTAGGCTTTAAAATAGCGTCCCCACACGAACCGTTTCTCCAGCCTCTTCACTCCTAACATGAACGCTCACGTCACTGCGCACAGTCACAACGCAGTTTGTGTAACAACGGTGCATTTGTCTTATATGCTAATACTTCAACTTACATGGAAAAAGTTTGTGTTTTTAACATTCACACAGCTACAAGACAAAAAATACCTTTTCCTGTATCCTACACAAGCCCCGCCTCCTGACCGAGTTTCACCAATAGAATCTGCGGGTTCTTTTATGGGTTTGTGACAAGCTGTAGCAACATCCGGTTGTGAGAAGCGCAATTTCTTCACGAAGTATATAAGGGAGGAAAAGAAAATCACTTTAAATTTTTAAATCCCATATATCTGTCCAGTGACTATCTTCACAAGAAATTCAATATAGATACGACCCATGCACTTTCTGCAGTACTGATGTTGAAACTACAGAGCATATTTTTTAGTTCCAGATGTTTTTGGGATGATTTTCAGTACTTTAACCTCTAAAATTTTGACTGCCCTTCTCTAACCTTTCAAGTAATTAGATTTGGCCTACAAACAGAAAATAAAAAAAATAGACTTTGGGATTAACAACTTATTTATAGTTGCCAAATTTTTCATTCACAAATGGCTCTTCTTGAAAATTACTCCGTGTTTTGCTGGCTTTAAAAATGAAGTCCTGCTGTGGAAGGCTTGGATAAGTGTAACTTAGCTCACACCTTACTTGAATTTTTGATGCAGCTTTTCAATTGATGTAGTTAGATTGCATGTGCGTACTTTTGTTTTTTGTTTTTACTTTTATATGATAGGTCACCTTACTGTACTTTTATGCAGTGTTGGGGAGTAACGGAATACATGTACCGCCGTTACGTATTTAAAATACAAAATATGAGTAACTGTATTCCGTTACAGTTACCGT